GGGGGTGGGGGAAGAGGAGTCTTGTGCACTCCATTTATAGTAGTTTTTCAGCAGAAACCTTATTTAAATATTTGAAGTTAAATCTATGGTGTCTGCTGATCACATTTCAAACATTTGCTTCAATATAAGCTTTAAGAGACTACTTAATGTAGCTTTTGTTTTCTTGAAGGTTGAGGTCTTGATATTCATAAAAACCTACAGGATTAGGGACCTGGTATCTGGACTGTAGCCCTTAAAATTAGAGGGCATAGGTGCCTGGGATAGAGTGAGAGTGTTGGTCCTGGCTGCTTAATTTTTGGAACTTCTCCTTCCTATATATAATATTTTTGAATTCTTTTGAAACGTGTTTGTATGCAGAGTGAAAGCATTATTTATTCCAGACATGAGTTAATGAGTTCCTTATTTTCACATTTCTTTCGCATATTGAAAATCTTGGGAGCCAGGATCTTTGCTCATTCTTCCAAAAAAAGGGTCTATCATAAGCACCAGCTCTAATTCCCAGCTCTAATTCATAAGCTGTTTTCTGTATGTGAGGATGTTCTGTCAGATTAGCTCTCTTTTTATAGCTGGTGTCTCCAGCTCTCATGTCAGTACTCATTTAGTTTTGATTTTGGTTTTGAATTTCTAATTTGTTAGAGATGATGAGCATCAATTTTATGCACAGGCTAACAAATACGCTCATCAGATTGTGTTTTTGTTTAAAAAAACACAGACTGAAATTTTGGCATGAAGGAGGAATAAATTTAACTTGCCTCTGAGCAGTTAATGAAATCCCATATTAGGATAATGTAAGAGATCATTGTGGCACTTTATTTAAAATAACCCAGTATTTCCCACTGGAAGTGGTGATTGAATCATAGAATGAATCACAGAATGGTTTGGGTTGGAAGGAACCTTAAAGACCATCTAGTTCCAACCCCCCTACCATGGGCAGGGACACCTTCCACTAGACCAGGTTGCTCAAAGCCTCATCCAGCCTGGCCTTGAACACTTCCAGGGATGGGGCATCCACAGCTTCTCTGGGCAACCTGTTCCAGTGCCTCACCACCCTCTCCGGGAAGAACTTCTTCCTGATATCTAATCTAAGCCTCCCCACTTTCAATTTAAACCAGTTCCCCCTTGTCCTGTCACTACAGGTCCTTGTAAAAAGCCCCCCCCAGCTTCCTTGTAGCCCCTTCAGGTACTGGAAGGGGCTATAAGGTCTCCCTGGAGCCTTCTCTTCTCCAGGCTGAACAAGCCCAACTCTCTCAGCCTGTCCCCATAGCAGAGGGGCTCCAGCCCTCTGAGCATCTTCATGGTCTCCTCTGGACTCCCTCCAACTGGTCTATATCCTTCTTATGTTGGGGGTTCCACAGCTGGACACAGCACTCCAGGAGGGGTCTCGCAAGAGCAGAGCAGAGGGACAGAATCCCCTCCCTCGACCTGCTGGCCACACTTCTCCTGATGCAGCCCAGGACAGGGTTGGCTTTCTGATTCTTACTTGATTTAAAACTTTGTCAAGCTAATCCTTTACACTCATGGTATCATCCTTACTTCGTGTCTATTCAAGACTTTGTCATGTTTCAGTGCCCTAAGGGTGAGGCTTGGGGAAAGTTCTACTGATGCAGAAATGTTTTTCAGCAATAGCTCTGAGGCTTGTAAAAAATCTCTTAATTTGGAGCAAATCCCTCCCACATTTTACCTGATAAAAGGCATCCTTGTTTGGGAACTGGGAGAAGATCTGTCTTTTAACAAGTGATTAAGAGGCAGTGCTAATCACTTTAGATATTTCAGTGGTTGGACCAATTAATTTTTAGGAAGGTGGCATAGAGCTTGCATGGCAAACTTCCTTCTGTTCTAGTCTTTTCTCCTAGTACCCCAGAGTGAGTGTTTCACATCCTGCTAGTTTTACTGCTCTTGCAAGGAGATGTTGGCCCTGGTCGTGTGTCCCTGCCATCTCCCTGCTGCTGGGACTACTGCTTAGGCAGTCATCTACGGCAAGCTGAAAAGTAGTAATCCAGAAAGAGGTGAATGAGGTGGCTTGTCTCAATCCAGCATGTGTCTGCCAAAGATGTCCTCTGTGATGTTGGTGGGTATAAAAAAAAAAAAGCAGTGTAAGAAACTCTTCTGGTGTATTTAGTGACTTCTTTTAACCCAGAATATTTTCTTAAAACGTAGCCTTTTCTGTAATACCCATTGTTGCTTTTTTTCACTGCTAATCTCAGAGTACTTTCTGCCTTTTAAGGATTTTTTTTTTTCCCCTGTAGCTTCAGGGAACATCATCTGGTCACACATACTTTTCAACATCCAATTCACGAGTGAAAATCCAGTTTGCTAAGAATTCCCAAGTAATTCTAGCCGAGCAGGTAAATTAGAGGTTGGATTTTGGGATTTTTTGTTTCATTTCACCTTTTTCATATAACTTAGCTGAAATAGCAAAATAGAAAAAAATTTTCCAGGGTACTGTGGTCTTATTTACCATGTTAAGCGCTCCTGAGACATTAACTTGCACTGGAAAAAAAAAATTGGGTAGTTGACCAGTCTCTACTTACCCATGTTCTTCTCCCCCATGCCTTTCCCCTTTCTGTGAGGACCTTTGGGAAGAAAGAAATGTCAAAATTCAGCAAGATTGCCATGGCTTAATAGGTCGACTTCTTCTACAGGCTAAAATTTTGAAATTCAGGCCCTCATCCTGCAACTGTTTAAGCATGCTTAATTTCAAGCACATGCTTATTTACAGGATCCAGATTTGTTTGTTTAATTACTTTGTAGCACGACTGAAGCCAGGCTGTCCAGCTCTCAGTCCCATCTGTTGGGAGGGGGAGGGAAGAACTTGATGGTGTATGTTCCAAAAAGCTGTTCCACCCTTAGCCACCAGACAGAATTTATCTTTTGGATGCAGAGGTGGTGATATTCAGGAGTACATGGTAGATGGCTTTGTCAGAGTATGTTAACTTGTGCTCAGGGTGGCCCTGCTTCCCATGATCCACAGCCACAAGGGGATCTCGTGGATTGTCTAAGTGCCTATAAATTCTCTAGCACTACATATTGATACATATTATTGACCTGTCTTATTTATGACAGTGAGGTAGTGAGAGGTTGTTATCCCAAAGCTGTAGCATTGAGTGGTGTAATACTGCTTGTTCCATTGCATTTTCAATAGATTCAAATATGTTCAATTCCACTGTTACTCCGTCATGCTAGCCAAGAAGTATAATACACACATACTTACAAAAAAATTTGAAGCTTTTCTAATTTTTAGTGGTATTTCTGATCACATGTAGTTATTAGATTTTACTTTTAAACTGAAGGCGAAGGGCCAGATCTGCTTGTTTCATTCATGCAAGAATAGGCGAGTCTAAGAACAGGGTTTGGAAAATCCAAACTTGTATATACAAGTCTCATTACTCCTAATTTAATCATCTTTAATATCATAGAATCCTAGAATGGTTTGGAAGGGACCCTCCACTAGACCAGGTTGCTCAAAGCCTCATCCAGCCTGGCCTTGAACACTTCCAGGGATGGGGCATCCACAGCTTCTCCGGGCAACCTGTTCAACTTAATATTTCTGTTAAGTTTGGCTATGAAAGCACCTTACCCTCTTTTCTTAGTTTTATTTGAACATCCACCTTTAAGAGGACAGCACAATCACATGTCTCTGCCCACAATATTTAATGTAAACTTTGTGTTAGTTGAGCGTAAGTAGAAATTGGAGGGAGAGTTGTGTGAGTACCAAAGGCTGACTGTTGGAACATACTGCAGGAACTCAATTTTCTTAGAATACTTACCAAAGGGGGGGGAATAATGAATTTTTTATTTACTTCAATGCAGTGTATTGGATTTCTCTCAGTGGACAACTCTAAGAGCTAGTTATCTTTCATTACTGGGTAATTAGTTCAGTTTTCTCCAAGGAACTGTGGGTAAGATTTAAATAAGAACAACATCTATTAGTAACACTGCTACATCCACCCTTTTACAGATGAATAGCAAGGGAGATGAGTAGTGCTTAACGCAGTTCTGTGAAGTGGTATCTCTTAACTCTGTCTGTGGTGTCTGATGTTATCCCATGGTACACTAGTCCTAGCTCACTTGATGAGAAGGCATCACAGAACTACTGCTTTACCATCCTCTCTCTCTGACTGCAGATGCTTCTCCCAAGTGCTTCCATACACTAGTGCTTGTGTAGGGAGTTCCTTCTCCCTGCTTTTTCACAGCTGTGGCTTCCCAGCATTCTGTCTGGTGGTGACTGCCTAATATAATTGGATGAGTTCTGGATATGGGAACCTCTGGAATTTTTTTAAAACAACTGTTGATTGAATGGGCATCACTTCTGTCCGCAAAACAAAAGGCACAGCATATTTTAGTACAGATGTGGAAATAAATGGCTAGGCTGCACCACCAGTTATTAGAGAAGAATGATCACTATGACAAGGTCCTGCTTTCTCTTAAGGAAATGAATGTTGTGAGATTCAGTAGGAAGATCCATATCCCTCTTACTTGGACAATCTAGGAGGGCCTTGTTTTTTAACAAGGATTGTGCGAAATTCTCCATATAGTTGGTTTCTGTAACCCTCCTCACCTGGCCAGACAATCTTACTGATATTCTTCACTTAAGACTGTAGAGTAGATGAGTTTGGAAGGGATATCCAGAGATATCTTAGTCCCTCTCTCAAAGCAGGATCAACAGGTTGCTTAGGGCCATATCCAGTTGGGTTTGGAATATCTCCAAGGATGGAGACTCTGCAGCCTCTCTGGGCTGCCCATTCCTGTGTTCGACCACCTTGTTCCAGCATCTCTTGGCATTATAGATTGCAGCCACCTCCAGCGTCAGTCGTTGCCATTGCCATGGCAGTTCATGTGTAACCTCAGTGTCCGGCTGCTTATTGACTCTCAGCCACAGGCATCTCTGACCACAAACGTGGCTTTCGGTCACCCTGCCTATCCCTTTCCTATATGTACGCCATTGTCTGGTGACAGTGTATTCGACAGTTGTCACTACTGCCACTGTCCCTCAAAGTCCTCTGGGCACCCCTTGCCTCTTCAGCTGGTTTTAGTTGATATGGTTCCTGAGCTGATGGCTGTGCAGCTGCTCAGATGCTGCTTGTGGTGCCAGAGGCAGGAGGAGAATTGAGATCTGGGATTTGGGGGTACTGGGTTTTTGGGTCACTGCTTTGTGGTAGTTTGCTGTGACCTATGGGGCATCATCCTGTCCTTGTGGTTTTATTATGGCTTTAGTCTTGAGCAACTGTTGCCCCAGTCCTACCCTTCCTTTATGTGTGTGTGCATGCTTTTAGTAACTGCAGGGTCAGTGTGTGTTGGCTTTGTGTTGGTCCAGTGAATTAAACCTGGTTTTGGGATAGGGGAACTAAACCACAAACCAATCCAAACACGTCTGCTCATGCACTTTTTTGTTGCTCGTATGATTGATTTATTGCTTGTTTCATTCTTAACTAATGTTTATTAATGTGATTGACAGATTGATATTTATTTTTGAATAAATATGCCTGTTTACCATATGATGTTGTTTTTCAAATGTCAGAAATTAAATCTAGTGCTGTTTGATGGCTCCCTTCTCATGGGGAAAATAACTCTAGTTTACTAACAAGATGCAGATGCTTCCAGTGAACTCACTGGTCTGCTCTGCATCTTGTAGTTTCTGGCATCTTAAACAGCCTTTATCAAAAGTTTGAGGATAGTTGCAGCTACTGAAGAAATACCACCTTGTCCGGATACTGGCAATGTCAGCTGTTTGGCAGGAAGTAAGTTAGTAGCCTCAGTGTGAGGACAGGGAGGATCCTAAACTGCACCAACCAGTTGAGAAAAGGAGCTGTAGGTGGGTGGAATGGAGTTACCTGTTAGAATTTGGTCAGGGCAGTGGGCTTCACAGCCTTGTTTCTATGAAGCGTGGCTTATTCAGTGTCTCTGGTTTTGATGGTGTTTGAGAAATGACACTTTTCAATGGAGTGTGTGCTCTGCTCAGCTGTTTCTCAGGGAAGTGATTCTAGGGTCACTTTGTCTTCTGGTTCTCAATACCAGGGTGCTTGATGCTTAACCCGTACATAAACCTAGGGCGGTGTGAGCTTGGACAGTCACCTTCAGTTTTATTATTTCTTCTGGATATGCAGCATACATATAAAGATGGTTACCTAACTTTGAAAGCTCTGTAGAATGTCTGGGAAAATACCAGACAGGCTTTTTTCAACAGGGTATTTTTCTCTCCAGGTTCTGATTTATTAAGGGGTTTTTTGCAAGTGTACAGTTAATATCCTTTGACTGAAGCTCGGTGTAACATCTCAATAACACTTTGCTAATTTTATGTTACTTTTGACTTCTAAATGTATTCTTCTTTTTATCCCCTTGAAAAACACAAGCTAAGGCATTGCAAAGTGCTCTTACTGATCAGGCTCTATGCTTGTGTTCCATATTCATTTTGCAAAGCTTCGCATGCCTTTGTATTATCAGGAGAAATAGTAGGGATGTATAAAGAATGCCTTGTGCCTATGTTTTCTTTGTCTGTTCTAACGTTTGGATTTAAAAACTATTTGTAGTGTTCGATTTGTCTTCCCTACCGAACTTTGAGTTTGATGTAGAAAACTGTTTTTTGTAAACTTTGGGCCCTTGGTCTTGTGAGGGATTGGTTTGGCTGGAAGGATGCTTTGCTGTTTCTCCCTCTCAGTCCTCCTTTTTTTCCCGAGTGCCTGGTTCTCATTTAGTGTAATGTATATTTTGTGTTAAACATCTCATTAAATGTTCTTTGCCAAGCTGGAGACTTTTTTTGCAGACTAAAAGCCAATTGACCTAGAAAATAGTGCTGTTAACTTTCTCTACTGAATTCAGTACAGTAATTCCAAGTGTTTTTTTTAACGCCAAACAAATTAAACATACCAGGTAGATTGAATCCTAATTTTGAATGTTGTCAGGAGACCTAATACTCCTGAAGAATAAATTGTACTTAATTCTATTCTGAAATAAAGTAGCTTTAATAGTAGTGTTTGACTATTTGACTGTGGCTCAAATTTAGTCTTTAATTGATAAGATGAAGTACGATGTAGCACATCAAGGAAGGAATCTTTCTTACCTTAGTAACATGTTCAGGATGGCTTTGTGCAACACTGGCGCATTACACTTTAAACTATGAGTTTGTATGAATGATTAAACATGTTGTTTTTATATCAGGCAAAACCTTGTGTGGTCATGCGGCTGGGAGAACTTTTTTTGTGTTACACGAAAAATGAAATGGACTTCAGGAGTCCAGATGATTGGAAAAACTAAGATTACACTTGTTAGTGTTTGCCATTTCCTTTGTGCATACCTGATTTCTTCTCTTTATCTTCGCGTAATCAGCAGCTATATCCATTTCCAGGAT